GTCGATTGTTCGGTGATCGTATGACAAGGCCACATACATGATTGGTCTGATTTCTACTACACCATTGATAGCTACTGGTCTTTCCACGATGTTGTGCATACCTAAAATAGCCGACTGTGGAGCATTGATGATAGGCGTAGATAGCATTGAGCCAAATATTCCACCATTTGTGATAGTGAAAGTTCCACCAGTCATCTCGTCAATCGTCAGTTTGTTGTCTCTAGCTTTAAGGGCCAACCTTACCACCTCACTTTCGATTTGAGCAAATGTCATGTTTTCAGCATTTCTGATAACAGGCACAACCAATCCTCTTGGAGCAGATACCGCTATTGAAATATCAGTAAAATCATTGAAAACTATCTCATCTCCATCAATAAAAGCATTCACTGCAGGGAATTCTTGCAAAGCAATAGAACAAGCCTTGGTAAAGAATGACATAAATCCTAAACCAACTCCGTGCGTATCTTTGAATTTATCTTTGTATTGCTTCCTCAAATCCATGATTGGCTTCATGTCAACTTCGTTGAAAGTAGTCAGCATAGCAGTTTCGTTTTTCACAGCCACCAATCTTCTTGCAATGGTTTTACGTAAGCTTGACATTTTCTCTCTTCTCGAGCCTCTGCTTTCTTTAGCTACAGCTGCGATAGTAGGAGCAGCAGTAACAGCAGGAGTCGCTGCAACTGGAGCCACGTTAGCCTTTAAAGCGTCTTCTTTGGTAATTCTACCACCAACTCCTGACCCTTGAACGTCGGCAGTGCTCAGGCCTTTTTCAGCCATTACTTTTGCTGCTGCTGGTGAAGGATGGCCTTCTGCATAACTTGCATTGGTTTCTGCTGCTACTGCTGTTGGAGCAGCCGAAGCAATAAGGGCAGCCGCTGGTGCTGAAACTGCACCACCAACTTCGACCGAAGCCAAAATGCCACCTATCGGAATTACACTTCCTTCTTGAGCAATTATTTGCAAAATACCTGCAACTGGTGAAGGCAATTCAAAAGTAGCTTTATCAGACTCCAACTCGCATATGATCTCATCCAAACCTACTTGCTCACCACTCTTTTTGATCCAGCTGGCAATAGTTACCTCTGTTATAGACTCACCAACAGCAGGTACTTTTATTTCAATAGTTTCTTTTTTAGTATTGGCAGGTGCTTCAGCAACTACAACTGGAGCAGCTTCTACCACTGCAGGTGCTGGAGTAGCAGCTGGTGCTGCCGGTGCCACTGAGGCAGCTCCCGCCTCAATTGAGCATATTGGAGCTCCGATGCTCAAAGTATCACCTTCTTTTCCGATAATCCTTAAAATACCATCAGCTTCGGCAGGCAATTCGAACGTTGCTTTATCTGATTCTAATTCACAAATCACCTTATCCATCTTCACAAAATCCCCATCTTTTTTTACCCAAGCAGCAATGGTAACCTCTGTTACCGACTCACCCACTGAAGGCACTTTCATTTCAATAGCCATAATTAATTCATTTGGAATGCTTTGTCAATAATTTTATTTTGAATCTCGTTATGATTCTTTGTGTAACCCGTTGCAGGCGATGCACTCAATTTTCTTGAGATAACATCATCAATACCTCCTGGGAACTCTCTCACCACAAATGACCAATAACCCATATTCAATGGTTCTTCTTGAACCCAAATCTTCTCAGCGTTTTTATATTTTGCTAATTCTGTTTCAATCTGATTTTTCGGGAAAGGATACAATTGCTCCAATCTAATGATGGCAACATCTTCTCTGTTTTCATCGAGCCTGCGTTTTTGCAAGTCATAATAAACCTTACCTGAGCACAACAATACTCTTCTTACTTTCTTTGGATCGGCGGTTTCGTCTGCCAACACTTCTCTAAAGCTCGTATTTTCTAAGAATTCACTCATGTCAGATATAGCCATAGGATGACGAAGCATCGATTTTGGCGACATATGCACGCATGGTTTCCTGAAAGGTAACGATGTTTGTCTTCTCAACATATGGAAGAAATTAGACGGCGAGGTACAATTACATACATAAATGTTATACTCAGCAGCCAATTGAAGGAATCTTTCAGGACGAGCGTTTGA